CCCCTTGCCACAGACGCACAATCATTATATCAAGTGCCGGGTGAGAAAACAAATAAATAATGCCACTGACATCAATCATACAGTACGGTACCGACAAATGCTCTCCAACAGAAGCAGCAGCAGCACCCCGTCACAGATCGTAGTTCTCATTTTCCCCCTCCAACTTCGCCTTTCCGGGGCGCGCATGACCGATAATGAAGTGACCGTCGGGATCCAGCAGCTCCGCTTCTGTTTCCTTTCTCCACGAGAAGCGCAGCACACGAGAGTAGTTCCGCCCCTCCCAGCCTTTGTTGTCAAAGTTCTGCTCCGCAATGTACACCAGCAGCGGTTGCATCCGTTTCTTCCGCAACTCCACGAGTCGCGTCTCGCCGCCCGCGGCCTTCACATCATCCACGACATCCACCACTACCGCCATGTGGCCCACCGGGAGGTCCTGCTCAGGCTGTGCCGACCACACCACAATATCCGCGACCCTTGGTGCCTGGCGCTTACGCTCCTTCTTCGTATTGGCTTCTGCATAGTTTGGAAGCTGCACGACCTCGTAGGTGAGCTGTGATTCAAATGGATCCCCAAACGAGAGTCCCGACCAGTATTCGTCGTAGTCATTCTCGTTAAAGGTGAAAAAAATCCCACGATGAAAGTAGTAGAAGCGCGTAATGAATTCTGCCGCGTCCCAGCAGTGACCCATCGCACGGAATAGGCCCACACTGTCTGAGATTGGGGTTCTCCGCACGTCAAGCGGGTCACCCAGCGCTGCGTACGAGCGCACCTCTGTCGTCCAGAGGCGATGGCAGTTGCTAAAGGCTGGTATGCCGTGGGCGTAGCCAATGACGGCGTCGTACGGGGAGTTGCAGTGGTCCAGCGGGTTGAAGGCGTCGCGGTAGGGGTGCACGGCGGGCTGCCTGGCGCGGCGCCGCCAGGTGTCGAGGAGAACGTAGCCGAACAGCAGCACCGCAATGAGGGCCGGTACTGCTAGCCTGAAACGCTGCTTGGCAACGGGAGAAACCATAACGCTCTATTGAGGTCTTACCCTTCCTCCTTTCTTGTTGTCTGTGCTTTGCGTTATGCCACACGCTAGACGGTGTTCCACACTCCACGGCCAAACCAACAAGAATACAAAGGAATGGAGGAGCAAACCCCCTCTCCACCCACACACACAGGGACAGCGCAGTCTCCAGGCTATTCCAGGCCTACCACACCAGTACCTTGCACAATACACCACGCCACGCTGCCGCTGCCACCACCACCACCACAATGGAATCCAGCGAAGTTGGGATAATCACATCTGTTGCGCGTGGCTGATATCGGCGTGAATTGCTCCGCAGCGGAGAGCGATAGGAAGAGATAAAAATCAAAAAAAAAATTGCGACCCAGCGCCCTGTACATCTCAATGGACTGAGGCACCGTGCACAATATGAATCACACAATCCGAAAAGAGAAAATAAGAGGCATGCAGAGGGGCAATGAGCGAAATGAGACCACCTGTAACGATAGTTAGTGGTAGCCGCATGACACGGCCTCCCCTCTCACTCTTCCACCCCCCTTGCTCACGGACACACACACACACAGACACACACACACACAAACAGAGAAACATACAAATAACACGACACCCTCTACCGGCGGTCAGAGATCACCTGCGCCAGCCTCATTGTCACCACGCACAAGCAACTTGCCGGCTCGGAGTCTCCCAATGATTTTTACACCATCCGGATCCAGAAGCTCCGCTTCTGTTTCCTTCCTCCACGAGAAGCGCAGCACACGAGAGTAGTTCCGCCCCTCCCAGTCTGTATTACCGTAGTTCTGCTCCGCAATGTACACCAGCATCGGTTGCATCCGTTTCTTCCGTAACTCCACGAGCTGCGTCTCGCCGCCCGCGGCCTTCACATCATCCACGACATCCACCACCACCGCCATGTGGCCTTCAGGGAGATCGTGCTCAGGCTGTGCCGACCACACCACAATATCCGCGAACGTTGGTGCCTGACGCTTACGCTCCTTCTTTGTATTGGCCTTTGCATAGTTTGGAAGCTGCACGACCTCGTACTCTTGTGTTGTTGCGTACTTCATCTTCCTCACTGGGTTGTGGAAGTATTTAGCGTTCCACCATTCCTCCATATTTCCCACTGCAAGGAGCGTGCGGGCCTGGTGATGGTAGTAGAACCGAGCGACGTACTCCGTTGGAGTCCACGGCTTCCCTGCGAAGAAGCTACCCGGTGAGCCATCACTTTGGAACGCAACGCTATCCGGCTCACCAAAGCGTGTGACGCTCATCAGATTCGCCCGGTGACTGCGGTGACAGTTACTAAACGCCGGGATGCTGTGGGCATACCCCAATAATGTGCTGAACGGGGTCGTGCAGTGCTCCAATGGGTCAAACAGTCGTTCTGTACTCCCAGAAAAGCGATTAAACATGCTGCTGCTGCTGCTGTCATTTTCCCAAGTTAGTAGACGGAGCCCTAGTATAAGCAGCCCCAACGCCCCAATGGCAATCCGCCATGTCTGCTTACTTGCCATCGAACCAATAGCGACGATTTGCGCCTAATAGTTGCTGTTTCGAGAAGCTTATAAAGAAGGAAGGAGGAGTGAGGCGCTGAGAATTGTTTCGGTCGCTTTTTTAAAATCTTCCCGTACCCCCCGCCGCACGTACTCACTCCCTCACTCACTCAGGCCAACAGAATGGAACAAGGCCCTCATTTCCCCCGTCTTCCGCCGCCGCTGATGTATCGTTACGCTTCTTTTAAATAATAATAATAATAATAATAATAATAAGAAACACCAAACAAGGAGAGTGGAAAAGCAAAAAAGCAAAACAAATGAGAACCCTAAAACCCATTCACATCCTAGCTCCGGTGTGGCGCGTGGAAAAGAAAAAAAAGATCCCTGCAACAATAGCAGCTGCTGCGCCAGAGATCAAGGGCCCTGCTTACCGCCTTTTCGCTGACTCTTTCGAGGACGTCATTCAACCAACCGATAAGTAAGTAAGCGGCACAACACCACAACAGTTTCGACACTTCCGCCGTCTGCCTCAGTAGATACAAAGACAGTTACACCCCTTGGGACAGCAGCGCACACTCTCATCGTCCCACCATGCAATGATGTGGGCGAGGTGACCGCCATGCCCACAGCGGGCACACTGAACAGTTAGGCACCCGTCCTCAGAGGCGAAGCGCAACGACACCCTACAACCACCTACACTATCGTCAATATCTGCAGTACCACAACTAAAGGCAGTAGTGACGGGCCGCGTTGTGTTGCGCAGCAATAGGAGCCCACAAACAGCACACTCAGTGATCGGTGGGTGACCTTCTGGTGCGGCAGCGCCTCCATTGTTGTTCTTATTTTTGCTATTGCAACCGTCGCTACCATCAACAGTAGTAGTACTGCCACCCCCACTCCGACTCCCACCCCCACAAGCAACAGGCGTGGGAAGTTTTGAAGCACGGTACGCATTTTCAATGGCCTTCTTCGCAACTTCCGCCTCACGAAATTTGATGGCAGCGCCTACAACGGAGAACACTGTTGCGACCAGCGTCACGCAGCGGTAGCACTCCACCGGATCAATGAGATGCGGGGCGAGGTCGAGCAGAAGCGGCCGGTCGCTCAGTATGGCAGGCAGCATGAGGCAGCAAATGGCAACTCCCGCCCAAAACGGCTGCCGCTGCGCTTGCATCGCCTTCACGACTTCATGCAAGGCGGGTGCCGCGAGCTGCAGCGCGTAGAGTGACGTCGCGTGCGGTGACGCGCCCTTCACAATGTGGCGCAACACACGAAGCGCCGTAGAGACCCCACGAAGCGCCTTTCCTTCCCGACAAATACGAGCGTTTTTGCGCAGAGCCTCACAGGGGTCGTCATCGCAGAGGCAGACGTCGCTGAGCTGGTAGACCTCTGTGTGCAGGATGTTTGCCGCCACCAGTACGGAGGGCAGTACTGTCCCAGGAACACCGCCGCCGCGGGCAGTCGTCATGCGAAGTGCTTGACACTTCTGGCGGGGTCGCTGCTGCTGTTGGCTGTAGGTGCCCTGGGGCTCAGCAGATTCCGTGGAACCCGTATGACTTCGGTTCACAGCACCACCGGTGCGGTACGACGACACACCAGATCGTATTGTGCTAAACGACGGCATCCGCGCAGACCCGGCTGTCACCTCAGCACTCATTTCCGCATCACTTCGGTTGTCTTCTGCAGACCACCAGAGCCCCCACGCCAGAACACCGCCGTGCGGCATAAAAATCGCAGCAAAATCACGCCTTGGCCTCTGCACTCTTGTGCCATTAACATCATCCAAGAAATGCGTTCCACGGCCTTGCCGTGGGAAGCTGCCGCTGTTGTCATCATCCAGCGCTGTCATGCTGCTCATAGAGGCATGATCTCGCATCACAGCTCCGAGTGGCGGTATGATGCAGCCGTCATCCAGCTCCAGCGCCGCCCACCAGCTACAGAGGAAGGCAAACTCTGACAGAAACGGTGATGCAGTGCTGTTACTGCTGCTGTTGCCGCCACCACCGCTGCTGCCGCACTGCTTCTTCAAGTTGAGTGAAGCCTCCGCCAAGGGGTTTGGGGCATCTGACATCGCACGTGTTGACACGCGTGCGGGGTCACGGCTGGAAAATGCGTAGTATCCGGAATCCGTGCCGACACTTCCCTCACAGGTGGCACCAAAGGACTTCTGTAGTTCCTCAATGCGTGACAGCACACCCTCCAAAACGAATGGCCGCAGTTTGGCGCGCCGACATGCGACATCAGCGTAGGAGTACGAGCCCCTGTCGTCCATCAGGTGCCATGCGCACGTTTCTGCTGGGTATGATAGACCAAAGACAACCTCCCAGTCGACACACAACACAACGTGTTGGCCTTCGTTGACGTTTTGCTTGCTACTGCTACTGCTACTGCCACTGCTCCTGCTTCCACCGTTAACATAGGGGCGCTCAAATCTTATTTTCACACTGCAGGCTCCGTTGTGACGCCACAGTGGGTTGCAGACAACAACGGAGCGGCGCCGCAACTCGCCCATCGGCAATGTACTCTCTTCAACGGAGCTGCTGAAGGAGGCGGCAAGGCGTTTGGCAAGCCCCACATCTTGTTCCACTGCGGACGCAGACGACATGCCTCACCTCTCTTTTTCTTCTATCTCTCGCCTACTTCACTGTGCAAGACGGGCGCGTGCGAGTGACACGCCGTGAGGGGGACCACGCAATGCCCACCACCGTTGCGTCGCTGCAGGAACAGCGGCGGCCCCAACGCCAAGCTAAAGAAAAGGAAACACACACACTTCAATCGCGACGCCGTATCCCGAAACAACAACAACAACAACAAGAAAAAAAAAGCCACCATTAACGAAGAAGAAGGGACTTGGGACATACACACTACTGACTAAAGGGACACCCTGCAGATGTTCTGCTGCTTCATTTTGTTTCACTGCTTCCATCTGTCTTGTTGCCTGTGTGTGGGCCCTGTCTCAGCCCCCC